GAGCTATAGATTTGCGTTTTGTTAATTGTTTACTTTGTAGTTCGAGGCCCCGTAGGCTAAATGCTTGGCCAATAAATTCAAATTCTATAGCCGCATAGCAATTATGCAATTGTTTGTGCTGCAAATAAAATGAAGCCAAGTGTATACGTTGCTGGATGCAAATACTTTTGGCAAGCAGGAAGACAGCACAGCCAGTCGCAGCCAAAGCAAAAACAAAAAACCCAAAAAACCAAACCAAACCAAACCAAACCAAGCACCCAGCGTGTTCTGCCAGTCTAAAAACTCCAAATCGATATGCAAATAAACGAATGAGGCGTACACACAAATCGCAAAACGAGCTGTGCTCAACTGAACTCCAGTTGCAGTTGAGCTGCCACGCCTCCCTTTTGTACAAAACGAAACAGAATAAAAACAAAAAAAAAAAGAAAACCCTCTGCCAGCAAGAGGCAGTCAAAAGCCGTTTTGACCAAATTCGTCGCTGGTTCTGTGTACCTGAAGACGGCAACTGTTTCTGGCTATTACAACAGGCCTGACTCGGAGCTGGGAGTCTGAGCCGTAGCATTCACTGTGGTGGTCCACTCCTGGCCATGGCTTTTTACTATTGCTACCAATTGTGCATGCAATTTATTTTTAAAGAAATAATTGCTCTGCCGTTCGCTCTACCAGCGATTATGCAAATATTAGTATTTGCTGTTGTTGCTGCTGCGGCTGCTGTTGTTGCTGCTGCTGCTGCCGCTGCTGTTGTCGTACTCCATTGCTAACCAAATAACTTCGGCATAATAATAATAATCGCACGGCAAGGCAAGTGAGAGAGTTCGTTCAGCACGTTTGCATATCCTACAATTTGAATATGCCGCACACAATGCAAATCCTTAACACAAATTTCACATAAATCAATAAAGACCTCACTCAATATACATATTATAGCAATTACATGTTTTTCTAATTGTTGCTTGCATTTTTGGCGACTGCCTGAAAGTATGTGGCATAAAATACCAACTGAATACAAAAGGTCTGCAGTTGGACTTAAAGTTGAAAAAATTCTAATTAAATATATATAATAGCGAGCGCATTACTTATAATATATTCATTTGGAATATGATATAAATTGTTAAGTGGTTAACTCTCGACTTAATTGGAAATCAATTGTCTTTAGACACATTTACTTTTCGTTTCACCTGGCTGCAATGCTTAGCTTAGGCATAAATTGCCCCAATAGTTTATTCTTAAATAAACATTTAATATTTTTTCATACTAAAACTTTTTATCAGTTAACCTCATAGTTGAAATTATGTTTTCTTTCAATTATCATCCGATGCACTTCCTCGTTCTTTTGCCTCTTCACAATATTCTTGAGTGTTGGAGTTATTCTTAACTCCTTTGACAGTCAACTATAACAAATAACTTTAATAAATAACATTTTAAAATAATTTTTTGATTTTGTATACTACTCATAAATTATAAATATATCATTTCAAATATCCGACAAGAACTAATCATCAACACACACACCACACATACATTGAAAATAGCTGAAATTTATAATTTCTTTTAATTGTTAATCATATGCACATTAATTTTTTGGATGGAACATATTTTTATTATTGTAAATTAATAGTTCAATTACAGCAGATATCCATTTTCATTATATTTTTAGACACTATTAGGCACTTTGAGACAAATTCCAAATTCTATCCATCAATATTTTACTCGTTCTGAATTAGAAATAAGAGATGCTTAATTAATATATTAAATTTATGTTTTTGTTGTTAGCTTTTATACTTCTAAAATAAGTGGAAGGAGTATATTAGTTTTCTGCTGTCTGTGAAAATGAGTGAAACAACTTCGCCTAGAGATTCCGAAAACTCGAAATTCATAATAATCTTAAAGTGTTGAGATTTAGTCGATACGCATGTGCATACAACCATAAAAGTTTAAAGCATATATAACTACGCCCATAGGGGCCTGGTAGAGTATAAAAAGTAATATGATCTGAAGTTTAACAGCAGAAATTCAAAAGTTACTGTTGAGCTCCTCTAACGACTTAGCAAAAAATTTTGTGAATACGTCGCTTGAGGTGTGGCAAATCTGAATAAAATATATTTTCTTAAGTTTTGGCATTCTAGCCTGGCCCTTCCAAAAATTGACTAAAAATTATCCTAGAGAATTAACATACAGGAAAACTCTATACTCTACAGTTTTCCAGTTAACTAAGCTATAGCTGTGAACGGGTATTATGCAGTCGGTCACGTCCAATTGAAATATTCTAACTTGTTCATTTTATAACCCTTTACCTATACTCAGTTTAAAGTGTTCTCAAAATCCAGGTGTATTTGCCAATTCTATGCCTGACACACACTCTCAACTTATAACTTCTCAAACTTCAAGAGCCAAGCTCAGCGCGAAAACTTTCTGAGGGCTGGTAATAAAACATGCCACAAATGTGGTTATTTTTTTTTTTTGTATTTCGCTTTACCTTCTTTTTGGTTAATGAAAGTGGCAGTAAATGAAATTGGCATCACGTTATTATTCTTTTGTCTCTTTGTTGCTGTTGCTTTTGCTCTTGGCCAGACATGTGGGCCTCGCCAAAGTTTATCTTATAAAACAACAACAAGCACTTAAGTGTTATATGCCACCGTATTACAACGCACGAACCGTACCAAACAGAGAGCCCAAAGTCGCGCTCAGAACGACCCAAAATGCAACGTAGCATAAATGAAAGAAAGCTGATAAGAAAAAGCAACATACATACCAACAGTAAATGGAGAAAAAAATAAAAAGAAACCCTGCTAAAAAGGCGGCACAAAATTGCTGCCCGCATACAGGCAGACGAACAGCCACAGAGATGTGAGAGCGCTCGAACAGATTGTAATAATAAAATAAAACAGAAATTGAATGTTGCGATTCGTTTGCGTGGCGTATCCAGGTGACAAGCAATTCCCCACAGGTGAAACAGTAAAGGTGTATATGTGTATATACATATTAGCAATTGCCCTTAGCGCTATAAAACAAGCTAAACATTTTGACATGGGTTGCAGCACTCACCAAAATGTGGGTAGGCAAAAATGAGGTGTAGCCTTAAAGTCCTAACGGATGGCCCTTTCTGCGCCTGGGTGTTGCACCCATGTCACTGCACTGACAACTGGCGTTAACCAACCTGGAAAGAAAGTCAAAAATCATAACGTATCGTTTCGTATCATATCATGTCATATCACAGTATACATACGTTTTTAATGAGTTGCAGTTCGTCTTGATTTTATATATTTTTTATTTCTCTTGCTTCCCTGAACTGTTTGCCATGCAACGAATATTGTATTTCCGTTCATCATTTTTGTGACTTTCTTATCTGCCACAGTTTGGTTACTTATCAAAGCGAGCTTCTTGGCGTCTGTCTGTCAGAGTCTTTATGATATGTTTGCCCCTTAAGTTGAAAGTGCCAAAAAAATGAAGAGATATGAAGTGCCGTCTCTGGACTTCGCGTTTGCCAATTAGCAGCTGCTGGGGCCTTTGACATGCAAATATTTATGCAGCAGAAGGGCAACAGGCACTTCCAAGTGGATTTCCAACTTTAGGGACATTATTATTTAGGCGAGTGTTTCTATTAGCAGATACCCTCTTCTCAATTATTAAAAATAATACTGTTTAATGTTTATGTATCGATTTTAAGTTCATGTTCATGTTCTTAACTTAAGAAACTTCATAAATTATCTATTTTCAAAGAGAGACAGTAATTAGATCATGCTGATAATGCTGATCAAGAATATATATACTTTATGCAGCTGTATTTACATCATATAGCAAATCGATAGTTATCGATTTTATCTATATTTCAAAATTTCTTATGCCAAAGCATAAAGAAGAAAAATAAATAATGCAATAAGCTTTCCTTTTTATTAAATAACTATTTACATACATGCTTATACGTATCTCACAAATATTTGGTATATTCCTCTGCTAGAACTGGTTAGTTAGTGTTAGTTATATACCCTTTGAATTGTCCACTCTTTCTTGGATACCGGGTTCAATCTTACACGCACAAACACACACTATCATCTCGCATGTGTGTGTATGACATGAGACATTATAATGCCACATTATGTTGCCAGTGCGTGAAAGAACCGTACATCAGAGCACAACATCCATAAATCAAAATCCACAAACACATGCGACGTTGTTGTCTATGCGCTGCTCTTAGCTGCGCTGACTGCGCAGCGTGCGTTGACTTCACTGCCTGCGTGTGTGCAGCTTGTTTGTATCTGCTGCGAGTATTCGCAAAAATTATTACACTTGACATGATTGAATATACCGCTGAGTATGCGAGAACATTACTACAGCCATATGGGTACACACACGCACATACTACTATATGCAGTAAATATATAAGAGGTACCAGTTGCTGGACATTGGCCCACTCGCAGCGCCCGTGCCCTCCAAGTGTTCACGACTCTTGCTGCTGCTGCTGCAACGTCTGTGGCTGCGACTGCGAGTGCGGCCGAACATAGTTTTTGCGCTGTCCCAGTGGGCAATTCCCGTTTCTCTGCATGTGTTGTGTGTACTAAGTTGACATGGCGCATAAATGTAAGTGGCCACAATGTTGTAAGCAGTACACTGTACTAAATTTTCCATTAAAAAGCTTTAAAAGAATTATTTAATAAGCGGCAAATCGATGTTCAAATTGCCAACGCTTGCAGAAAGTATCGATATACGAAAGGTAAGTCAACCTCAACGAGCTTCAAGCTAGCATTTTGCTATGTATACTTACCTTAAGAAAGGCAATTGTATTCATATTTATATATATTCATTAATTTAAGTTCTTTTAATTGAGCAAGCCGCAAGTCTCTTTATACAAGAAATGAACAGACAACAACTTTGACAACTCTGCATATACTCGATATCAATATCGATAGCGACAATGTTTAGCGATAATTTTTTAATTTAATTTTTAAACTTTTTCAAATTTTTTTGATTTTAACTGCTGCTCTCGACCGTTTTGAAAACTGTGTCAAATTCGATTTTAAATATTTGTATCATAATGGTCTCTTAAATTTTTAAATCATTACACACAATACAACACTACACAACACACATTAGCACACACAGTACGCTAAATTTCCACAAAATCTGTCCAAACTGTTCCAAATTTTGGTGAGTCGAATGCACTTTTGTTGAAATATACATTGAATGTAGTACATTTCAGCTGTTGCCATGTGTTTGGAGGCCACATTGACCAAAAATAAGACACTGGTTCTGATCAATCAAGGCTACAAGATCCTCGCCGAGTATCAAATGATAGAGCAGAAGGAGCTGAAAAGCATCTATGCGATACCCAGCTATGCCAGTGGCTTGCTTTGGTTCGGTGTAATATTCATACATAGCGGCATGTATTCGGGGAGCGTATTCCGTTTCTCCATTCTGTTGCCCGATAATTTCCCCGAAGAACACATTCTGCCCACCGTCATCTTTCAGAAGGACATCTTTCATCCTCACATTTGCCCAATATCACACAGCCTTGATCTGACGCCAGTTTTTAAAGAGTGGCGCAAGGATCAGCACCATATTTGGCATATACTCAAGTACATTCAGGCTGTATTCGCCGATCCCGAGGGCAGCGTCTGCAACACCAAGACCGGCGAACCCATTCCGTTGACAGCTGCCAACAATATGGAAGCAATGCGTCTTTTGGCCAACAATCGTGTGGACTTTGCCATGCGCGCTAAGGCTAGCATTATTTGGAGCTGCAAACACATGTTCGATAGACCACCTATCAATGATCCGCATTACATAATTTTCGAGCGCTATCGTCCCGAGAAGCATCAAGCCTTGATGAAACGTATCAAAAGCAATAACTGGTACGCTCTATCGACGCCAGCGACGCCGCCATCCCAGTGTGTTGGTTGCATTGAGTCTACTAAACTATTGCGGGAGGAAGATGCTCAAACAATTAGTATGGATAGCCTGAATTAGTGGAATTAGTAAACATTCGACTAGAACATTTTCATATGCATCAAAAATGTTCTAGTCGATGGGCGTGTACACTAGTTGTGTTTCAACACCATATATACACACATAGATGTGCAACACTTATGTTAACTATTTTTCAAATTGTTTTGATCGTCAGTTCTGATAACAAAATTCAAAAGTACAATTTTGTTGTTTTTGTCCTTTTACTACTGAGGCCTCGCACAGTGCTATTAATGCAGGCGGAACTTAACTTGCAACTAAACATATGCCGTGCTGTTAATGGAGCTCCTGACTAAAGTATCGATATCGATTGATTCAGCAAAGTATCAAACCTAACTATTACTAAAATCAGTTTGGGGCAATTTGCTGGACATATAACAATACAATTGTTTATTTTAAGCTGGCAGTTTACATTTACTCATTTAAATGCAATCGATAAATATATATTTCGCTATCGATACTGAACTATGCAAAATAACAATGATAGTAAGCAACAATATCATTTCAATATGCATCCCTCTTGCGCCCGCCATTAGAAAGCAATGCAACGGATTTTATGTTCGTGTGCTGCAAAATGTACTAAATGTTTTTCATGCATAAGTGTTAATTAGTGGAAAATATGAAGTGTGCAATTAGCTAATTAAATACCACTTAGTGTGTGTGTAATTAGTTAAAAGGTGAAGAGTGTATATGTGCCATGCTTCGAAATTTGAGGCTTGCCATCCAATTGTTTGTGCGAATATTTATACGCATGTGTGTGTGTGTGTGTAACACCAACAACTCTAACTTTAAGCATGTTCAAACATATTTTTAATTAATATATAGTTTTTAGTGCTCTACATAGATCAATTAATGTTTTACATTAGTTACATACTATTCAACACATTCTGTTTGTCGAAGTCATATTACCAACGTTTTATTATATACATACTTACACATGTTATGTGTAAATGCTAATAAAAATAAATAAAAACTATACGTTGCTTAAGCTGAAATGGATATTCTTGTATATACATGTGCAATGTATGTATGTGCAATGTATTCACAAAACAGATTGAAAGTATGCTAATATGGGAACAGTTTCATGCTTAAGTTGTGTTTAATGTATAAGTGTGTTTGCTGTTTCCCCTCTCTACTGTTAATGTCGCTGGTTATTACATTGTGGAGTGTTTTTAAAATGGGAACACAATAACGAATATTCGAGAACTATTAGCGTTGTATGTGAAGTAATTTTTTTTCTAACAGTGAAACAGTGTCTATTCCTTTAAATGTGAGAACAGTTGGATGTTTCTATAGAGGAAAAGTTGAGACTTTTTATTGCACCGTTATCTACTTTATTTTTGATTTCTCTGTTATCGGAGCCTTTTTGAGTGCAGCACTTTATTAATTATTTAAGCATAACATCTTTCACATGAAATAATCTAAAAAATAATAATTAAGGGACCGACAGCCTGTCACCACAAGCGTCACACATTTACCGTTACAGATTGTGGCAAGTTGTGCAATGTGCTGCAATTGCAACTGGTATGGCGAAATATTAAAAGCCTGCCGCATCGCATGGGTTGCACGGCTTGCTCTGCTGGTAGCTGTCGTCAGCTGGTGCAAAATATACAAAAGTGACAATTTGATTTATCACTGCACTTTGTCCTGCTGCAGAGTCTCACAGAGAAGGAGAGAGAGAGAGAGAGAGAGAGAGAGCGAGAGCCAGAGCCAGATGAAGAAGACTGCGTGTGTGAGAGAGAGAGAAAGGGTCTTTCTTTTATGGGTCTGCTCGTTAGGCAGTTGGTTGCGTATCCAAAAATCGTTCATGAAATTATGGATGCGAGTGCAATGTGCCATATTTTAGGCCATTTATGGTTGCCAAGTGGGCGCACATTTAGAGTACAGTGAGGCTTGTGCTAATGGATAGAAAGAGCTACCATTCTAGCGAGCTCTTACTGTATTTGCAACGGATACATATATGATTAACTTACATAGTAAATACTGTACTAATGGTAAGCTGTATAAAGCTTGGCGGTTTCTTAGCATTGTTGAAGAAAGAGCGGTTGTCCGAGCGAGCTTTTACTGTAATTGCCTGTCGGGCGGATACATAGATGAGCAGCTTCCTTCCCACAGAGACATGCACATGAAAGATACTAAGTAGACAATATTGCAAATGCGCGCCAAACATTTTTGGTGGTCTACATTTCGATGGCCTCGGCTTCATTCCATTTGTCTATATATCTATTTGGGCTATCTATTCGACTGGGCTATCTTTCAAGCTGCTAGCCAATTTGCTAAAGCTTCCTGTCTGCCAATGAGAATTCAAAGTGATTATATAGTATAGTATGCTATTGTTAGATGCTTTGTGAATATGGGAATTTAGTTTAAACATGTATACCGTAGAATGGCCAGAGGAGGAGTCGTGTCTCTCTAGCCAAGTCCATGTTCGACTGTTTGAAATTGGTTTTCGATAACTTAGTGGATTTACCTATTATTGATTGAAGTCTACATTTTGTTGCAACTTTCAAGGTATTACTCACATACTAAATAATAATAAATTAATGAATAATTAAAGTCTACTTTTTGGATGTCTTCCCACTTTTAGCCCAAACTTGAAAAATATAAAAAATAGAATAGAAAAATAATAAAATCTGAAACATACCTAACATAACTTTTTAACATTGATTTAATATGAAAAATTCTATTTTTTTACTTATAGATTTGAAACAATTTTTGAACATTTTTGAAAAATTTAACAAAATAAAACCAAAATATAAAGTTTAGCTCAAATTTTACTTGAAAAATTCTAATTTTTAATCTAAAACTTTAAAATATTTTTTGTGTGTAATTGTAAATATTATTTTTGATTTAAAATACAACAAATTTTTCTAGAAGCGTGGGCCTAAGATATAAATATATATAGATTAAGGCGTAGAGTAATTTTCAAAAAGTAAAATTTAAATGGAAAAATTCGAATATATATATATATATATATATATTTATATTTATATTTATATATGCTTAGGGTAACTTCCAGCCAAGCACTCTCGACTAGCGCAGTCTCCCATCACTTAAGCTGATTTCCCAAATACAAAATAGTTATCTACTAGATGATCTGCACATCCGTTCTACATGCCAACAACAGATTCGTTGGCTTTGTTTCAACTTCATTCAAGGGGCGTTGTTGAAAAAATGAAGACATATCGTATATAGGCGTTAACAAACAGAACAGCCAGGCACAACATTAACAATTAAGTTGTAATAAATTAAGCGCTGCGTGGGCTGAATTAAAACTCGAACGCAGAGAGTTGCGTATTTTCTTTCATTTTTATTTTATATGTGGTTTTCAGCTTCAATTAAAATGCCATAAAAATTGTTTCAAGCTGCGCGGCCAGCAACGCGTGACAAAGTATAAAGGCCATTGTTATTTTTATTGATATCTTTTTTTTTATTTTGGGTTTCGACTCAAGTTCAATCCCTGGTGAAATCGGTATATATAGATTGTATATATGCCCCCGCTGTTGCAGTTATCAACGGACATCAAAACAATTGCCACCATCGAAGAGGAAGAAGTCGCAATCGGCGGTTTCGTTAGCTACAGTCGTTTCGTTACGTTACGTTACGTTTGGTTTCGTTTGGCTGACAAGTAAGTAAGCCAAAAAGCATTCAAGTGCAATTGCAAACGGCAAGAGAGCAACAGGTAAAATTGAGCCGGGTGCCTCTTGTTGCATTGGCCTGTGGGCAGAGTTTCAGAGCTTGAGAGCTTCAGTTTTTCGGCTTCGATTTCCTTGGAAAACCGCTAGAGACTTTGGCATGGGCTGTTGGCTTGTGACTGCTTAGCATTTGGCTGGCCAAGACGTTGTCGTCGCAGATTGGTATTTATATGCAAGTTCATGGCATGGTCGAAGCGCGCACACACATCATCATCGATTATAATCGAAATGGGATTGTAAATCAAATCGCATTCAATGGCAGTGACTTTAAAATGGGCTTCATTATCGCCGCAGTTGCAGTCGCTGTCGCACAGCCTCGCCTGCCTTTTAGCCGCTCGTTCCCTTTGGCCATTGTCGGTGGCAACTGTGCAACTGCCGCGTCGTCGAAGTGACATTCAATGCCATAATTTATGAGTTTATCTTTTTCGCGCCGCCAAATCGTACGCTAAATGCTGTCTGGACCAGAACCGAACAGCACAAAGTAGAAGAGAACCCGATCCAGACCAGAGACCATGCCATGCCATACCATACCAGACGAGACCAGACCAGACCAAACCATATGCCCCATTCGTCGTCTGTTGGTTCCTCTTGGCTTCGCATATGCAAACAAACGGCAAACAAAACCAAAACGTGCGCATATTTTATGGCGCTGCGAATCCCATTTGTATTGGTATTGGCATTGCTATTGGTAATGGTAATGGTAATGGTATTCCTATTGCAATTGCTATTGCTATTGCCAGAGCTGTTGCTGTTGCTGTTGCTGCATTTCTGTAGCTATTCGATTTCTAGCTGTGCACGTATCTATATTCGATTCCTGACTTTGCTCAAATGCCGCCGTCGTTTAATGTCGGGCAATTAAAATTGGAGTTCTCTCTCGCTTTCTGAATATGTGCTGCCTTTATTTTTATGAGTTATGGGCTTTGTATTGCCTGAGCGGCTGTGGGGGTGTTAGTCAAAGTGAATCAGCTGCAGTTCAGTTCAGTTGTTGTCATTGCAATTGCCAGAGAAGTGTGTGAAATACAACTGTGTCTTTATCTATATATGTTTATGTTTGTATGTATATATGTATTTGTATACGTTTATCTAGGTGCATATGAAGGCAATTGTTATGCAAATGCATTGTGAAAATGAATCATTACAATATTTTGATTTAGAGTTTGACGTGTGTAGCATAAAATTGGATTTCTTTTTATTATATTCTAATCATTCATTTGCACATTCTATTTATTTTTATACTGAATCGCAGCGATCTTGTAAACGTGTTATATATATATTTCTGTATGCCATACTTAGTACCAGCTTATCACTCATGTATCGATAACTCGATTACTTTGTTTCCTTATTATCGATCGTATATTTGTAAATATGATTTGGTTTTTAAGCTTAGCTTGAATTAAATAACAGCTTGAGATATCAAATATATTTAGAGTATTTGGAATTTTTAATATCCCTTCTCCTAGATTTAAAG